CGTAGGTTGCACAGGGCTTTTGGACATGTCCCCAAGACGGTGATGGTCAATTTGGTGCGTGCTGCAAAGGTGAGTAAGGAGTTTGTTGATGCAGTGAAGTTGCATAGATGTGAAACATGTGAGAAACATCAGCAAAGAAACCCACTCACAAAGTTACGCTTCCAAGTGATTATACATTCAACCATACTTTGGGGATTGATGTACTGGAGTTGACAGATATAACTGGGCAGAAGTATCAAGTTCTCAACATGGTTTGTATTGGCACTTGTTTTCAACAGGCTGAAATTGTGAAGGTTGGAGCAGGCCAAGCTTCTTCGCGATCCTGTTTGGACGCACTTATCAAACGTTGGTTCAGTTGGGCAGGACATCCTGTTGCTATCATGTGTGACCGTGGATTGCACAACCGTGGTGTCTTGCAACAATACATGGATGAACACAACATTCAAGTGCACCATGTGCCCCTTGAGAGCCCGGAATCATTGGGCCGAGTGGAGAGACATGGTGGTTTGTTGAAAGCTCTTTTCAGACGAGTGTGTACAGAAGTTGGGGCTTGCACCAAAGAACAGGTTGAGTCGTGCATCACACAGGTGCTCAGTGTGAAGAACGACTCTGCACGTGTTGGAGGTTTTTCTCCATCTCAGTGGGTGCTTGGTCGAGCTCCCCGTGGTGTAGCTTCACTCATGTCAGAGGAAGATCACGCACAGCTCGGAGCCATTCAGGCCCGACATGGCCCTTCATCAATTTTTGCATTACAACATTTGGCCAGGATTGAGGCACAAAAGGCTTTTGTTCACCTTGATTGTTCAAGAAGAGTTCAGAGAGCGTTGACACGCAATGCCAGTGTGTTTGATCGTGAGTTCAACATTGGTGATCTTGTCACTTTCAGACGAGACAATCAGAGAGGAGGAACGTCCTGGTCACCAACATGTCGTGTGATCGGTCACGAGAACCAGAAGAACATATGGTTACTATGTGGTAACGTTCCGGTACTTGTAGCTTCTCACAACATACGCATTGCTTCTCCTTCTGAAGCTCTTGCTCAATCAGTGTTGAATGGTGAACCTGTGATTCCATACAAGATCATCAATGATACAGGTCAACAAGCGTTTCTTGATGCAAGACAATCAGATGAGGTTGAAGTTGTTCGTGATGGTCCAGGACAAGCAGATGATGTTGAGGTTGTCCATGAAGGCAATGTGGATTCAGCACTCCCTCCTATACCAGAAGTATCTGAAGATGAATGGGATATACGGCCCGGTTTCTTTGAAGAAGATGAGGAGGAGGAAGATACAGGTCCAATGGAAGAAGACATCTTCTCACAGAGTAGAACCCCAGAGAGAAGAGTTGAAAGACCACATCCAGGAGATGGAGGTCATGAACGCAACGTGAGACCTCGAGTAGAGTCTCAGTTACAACCTGAGTCGGAGAGAGGCTCATCACTTGTGCCATCTCGAAGAGACTCCTTTGTGCCTGATCTTACTCCAAGTGGCTCCGTTTTGGGACCACTATCCTCGCCGTCAGCATCATCTTGGCCATTACGAAGAGAACTTTTGAATGACTTGCCGCATCAATTGCGAACACATCTTGAAAGAGCTCGTGAGAGAGACTCAGAACGAAGTCCTGAAGAACAACAAGAAGCACGAGCATTGTTTGCATCATTTTTGTCCCAGGAAGTTGAAGTCCCTGAGGACGAAGAGCAAGGTAAGAAAGTGTTGAAATCAATCCACTATGAATCAGCGTCACCTGATGTACAGAAGAACATCATGGATGCCAGAACCAAGGAGTGGAGCAAGTTCCTTGAGTTCGCTGCTGTTGTTGAAATCTCAAAAGAAGATGCTGAGAGGTTGATTGCTGAAGGACATCAATGTATTCCTAGCAAGTGTGTTGATGTCGACAAGAATCAGTTCATGAAAGGAAGATCAGATCAAGAATATGTGCCAAAGTTCAAGAGCCGGTTGGTATCATGCGGCAATTTCGAAGTCAGTGAAGGTTTGAGATCAGACAGTCCTACAGCAGATACGGAAGCTCACAACATTCTTTGCTGTTGGGCGGCGATCCAGGGCGCACAATTGCACAGTGCGGACGTCGCATCCGCATATTTCCAAGGTCGTCCTCTTGATAGAGTTCTCATTATGAGACAACCCCGAGGAGGTCTCCCGGGAGTTGATCCAGAGGTGTTTTTCCTTGTGCGGGTGCCTATATATGGATTGACTGACAGCGGTCGAGGTTTTTGGTTGAGGTTGGACGGAGATGCCCGATCCAGTGGCTTGAAACAATCCAAGTCTTACCCAGGATTGTATTTCCTTCCAGGAACCGACAAAGATTGCGTTGCACTTATGGCGACACATGTGGATGACATCTTGTACGCATACATTCCTGAGGGAAAGTCAGTGATCGACAGCTTCTTGGAGAAGTTCAACTTGGGATCTAGTGAATCAAATTCGTTTCGCTATTGTGGCAAGCAATTTGAGCGTCCTGCAGATGGAACAATCACACAAGACACTTGTGACAACACCCGTCGCATCAAGCCGATCAAGATCGCGCCAGGAAGATCAGCGTCCGAGCCGTTGGGTAAGGATGATGTGACCCGATTACGGTCTGTAACGGGATCATTGGCATGGGTGGCAAGACAGACTAGACCCGATTTGGGTTATCGTGTGAGCCGCCTACAGTCCAGTATTTCTGGAGCGACAGTTGCTATTTTGCACGACGCAAATGCCGTAGTACAGCTGGCACAACAAGGCATTGAGAACAAGCTCATTTTTCCAGGTGGACATCTAACCTGGGGAGAGGTTGGTATCATTACAGTAACAGATGCTTCATTTTCAAATGAGAAGAATTACAAATCACAACAAGGTCGTTTCCATTTCCTTGGAGACATCAATGAGATCAAAGACCCCAAAACTACATCCTACAGGGTGATGCCATTGGGATTTGCATCAAATACAATTCGGCGAGTATGCCGCAGGGACTATGGTCTCGGATGCTCTGACCAAGAGCATGCGCCCGGACCTCATTATCCGCGTCTTGAAGGAGTGCATTTACCGTGTACAGAAGAAGCCTTAGAGCCAACTTTTTTCACTAGCATCATGTGATCCTTGAAGAACAGGTTGAGTGTGAGTTTGACCTGTCTAATGTATATTTTGTATAGCCAAGTGATCACATGCTCCGTTGACATTTGGCTTTAGGGCCCTTGAGTCATACCGCGCTGCCGTGGTAAAAGTTGGGCATTTGACGATCCCGTTTCCAATTCATACAAGTATAATCACACAAGAAAATACAGAAGTGCACAACATGCAGATCAGAGTTTGATTGTCCAAGAATTGAAGTGCAGGATCCACTGAAAATCTGGATTCTCGCCCAATCTGATCACATCATCCAGTGGCAGGTGCCTCTGGAGGGCTGGGTTCAGATCGTGCTCTTCTTGGGCCACTATGAGGGCTACTTCTGGCGCCAGGACCCAAAGCGTGCCCCAGGTGACTATGAAGGCACGTGGAGGTCTGAAGGTATCCGATTCATTCCGATTCATCCCACTTCAATGTGTCGGTTTGTCGGTTTCAGCAATGGTGCAGGTTGTCTTCAATTCGCATGTTCATTTGCGAATATGGATAGAAACGGGTATTCGAACTCGGATGGACCTTGGACGTGACATGCCTGTTTTATCCTGTTTTTGTGTGTATGATTGGGACATATTGGGACCCCATGAAGATCGTACACTGTTATGATGGGATATGATGGGCAGGCTATGGCTTCCTTGGTGCTGGCAAGAACTTCATCTTCAACTTCGAGCCTATTGAGTTCAAGGACCCCGAGGAGCGACCGTTGAGATAGCGACTTCATGGCTGTTAAAATCGACAAACTGGCCTTGGCCTATTACTTGGGATTATTGAATAATCATTTGAGTATTCATGAGTATTCAGTATTCTTCTTCTTTTCACATTGCGCTCATTACACTGGAGGTTTCACACGGTTTCACGGTTTCACCGCAGCAACACCGCAGCAGCACCGCAGAGGTTCGCAAAACCAAGCTGAGAGCCGAGATCGCCAATGGGCGACTGGCGCGGGCCTTGGTGAACTCCTTTCGGGGTCACCAAATCAGCCGATGATTTACCTATAAGAAACGTGAACAAATGGTGAAATTCCATAGCAAACTGTGAAATTGCCAGTGGCTCCCATATCAAAAGGTTCAGGTGCATTTAAAAGTGGCTCCCACTTTTGAAGCCTAATTTCGATTTTCAGATTTGATCATATTTGATCCAGCAATCTGTGGATTATCGGGCCATCAATTTTTGATGGGTGGTAGATGGTGGTAGATGATACTTGATGCATCCCGCATCCCTATCCTTTCTGGCACCAAACACTACGAGGCGATGGTTGCATTGATGGCCATGCTCTTCCAGAATGGCACTGTTGGCACCACTGGCCCAGCCATGTGGCTGCCACCGGCATAGGCGGGGCCTCAGTGAAACTGACACCTCAATACCCGAAAATTGGGATAGTGAAGTCTAAAAAATGAGGAACATGGTGTAAGTTTGTCTGTTTTATCTGTTTGGGGTTGTAAGTGCGACCCAAAGCCGGCAGCTACATATCCTGCAAGATCTGCAAGTGTGTGAGTAGCTTTTCCCGAGTTTTTTCAGCACCGGATCCTGGCAGGTTCACAGCGCAGCTTTGCACACCACATCCAAAAGGAGGCAAAAAGAGGCAAAAAGTTGAAAGTCCAGCGGGAATATATTTGGATCATTTTGGATCACTGGATTTCAGACGAAGATTGGGATGGAAGGTTTGGGTGGAAAAGGGGTATGCCTAAGTTCCTATTTTACTCAGGGTGTTGATACTGCACTGCAGCCCTGCAGTTTGAAGTGTTTGGATTATGATTTCATAGGGGGCTGCGACCATCAACAGTGGATCACGATCACCGATGGGTCGGCGGGTCCGCGGCTGCTCAAGTAGAAGCAAAAGGATCGTCCGCTGAGATCCATAGAGGTGAGAAAGTCCTAGCCATGGCTGGAGAACCCAGAGATTTGGGGATGGGACATGTTGCGGGAATGAGATGGAGTGATGGAGGGCACATGAGGGCACTACTAGTACATCTAGTACGGAAGGTCTCAATAATTTCAACATTTGTGGGCATATTGCTATTGATAAATATACGTATATATACATATATAGATATGTAGTCTGTGTATGAAGTAAAGAGTCCCAGGGCACAGCGCACGGCTGCGGCACCAAGGCCAAGAATTTGAGCCTCCTGGCCGCTGGCGCAGCTGGCGCCTACCTTTGCAGCGAGGCTTTCGTGCCTGGAGCCGCTCCTAGCACTGCACAGGCAGTGTGGGATGGGAGGTGGCTTGAAACAATTAATTAATAGATAAATAGATAGATAGATAGATAGAATAGATAGAATAGAATAGAATAGAATAGATAGATAGATCGATCGATCGATAGATAGATAGATAGATAAATAGTTTAGATTAGATTAGATTGGATTAGATTGGATTAGATTAGATTGATTAGATTAGATTAGATGAGATGAGATTAGATTAGATAGATAGATAGATACATAGATAGATTGGATTAGCTTAGATTAGATAGATAGATGGATAGATGGATAGATGGATAGATAGATTAGATTAGATTAGATTAGAGTAGAGTAGATTAGAGTAGATAGATTAGATAGATTAGATAGATTAGATAGATTAGATAGATTAGATAGATTAGATAGATTAGATAAATTAGACAGATTAGATAGATTAGATAGATTAGATAGAGTAGATAGAGTAGATAGATTAGATAGATTGGATAGATTAGATGATATTAGATTAGATACATACATAGATAGATAGATAGATAGATAGATAAATAGATTAGATTAGATTAGATTAGACTAGATTAGACTAGATTAGATTAGATTAGATTAGATAGATAGATAGATAGATAAACAGACAGACAGACAGACAGACAGGCAGACAGACAGATAGATAGATAGATAATTAGATTAGATTTGGCTAGATTAGATAGATAGATAGATAGATAGATCGATCGATCGATAGATAGATTAGATTAGATTAGATTAGATAGATCGATAGATAGATAGACAGATAGATAGATAGGTAGGTAGATAGGTAGGTAGGTAGGTAGATAGGTAGGTAGGTAGATAGATACACAGATAGACAGATAGAATAGACCGATCGACCGATAGACCGATAGACCGATAGACCGATAGACCGATAGACCGATAGACCCATAGACCTATAGACAGATAGACAGATAGACAGATAGACAGATCGACAGATCGACAGATCGACAGATAGACAGATAGACAGATAGACAGATAGACAGATAGACAGATAGACAGATAGACAGATAGATAGATAGACAGACAGACGGACAGATAGATATATAGATAGATAGATAGATAGGTAGGTAGGTAGATAGACAGACAGATAGACAGATAGACAGATAGACAGATGGACAGATAGACAGATAGACAGATAGACAGATAGACAGATAGACAGATAGACAGATAGACAAGATAGATAAGATAGATAAGATAGATAAGATAGATAAGATAGATAAGATAGATAGATAGATGGATGGATGGATGGATGGATGGATGGATGCATGGATGGATGGATGGATGGATGGATGGATGGATAGATAGATAGATAGATAGAATAGATAGAATAGAATAGAATAGAATAGTTAGATAGATAGATAGATAGATAGAATCGATTAGTTAGATAGATAGATAGATCGATAGATCGATAGGATAGTTAGATAGGTAGATAGGTAGATAGGTAAATAGGTAGATAGATAGATTGAGTTTATAGAGGCATAATTCTATACAAGTATAATTTTTATGATTATTATATAATTATATTGAAATATGAGCGGTTATAGCGGATGCATTTGGGATCATGGGTTTCAACCGACAACAGGTTTCATTTTTCTCCCATCTGAAAGGGGGATCCAAGTGACCAACATTTGGAATATGTGGATGGGTTGAAACCGCCCACCAGTGATGACGAGGGGAATGGATATAAGTTATGGACGGATGATTTCATGGAGCTTTCTGAAGATGGTGGCAGCCGATCCCATCAGCATTTCTAGTAGTCCCATCCACCACTCAATTGTTTTGGGGGCCACAATTGCTTGACCCATTCCCAACTGAACTCCATCTCCAGGCTGCCAGCACCTCCCACCTTCGGGGCTTGTCCCGTGGCAGCAGCAGCAGCAGCGGCCTTGTGGCCAGTGGTGCTGCTGCCCTGTGCATCGTGGCAGCCGGGGCGGCGCGAAGTCGCAAGACCACAGTGCCTCGGGGCGAAGACGGGTGTCAAGTGGGAGGGGATGGGAGGGGATGGGAGGGGGGCAGAAGACGGGCGATTTTTGCATAGCAGTTTTCGCTGTTTTTGCAGAAAAAACACAGGTGGATTTTGGATTGCCAGGTTTGGTTGCCAAGGGTGAACTTGTGGTCCCAGAGTTCTATTATCGTTTGCCTTGGGCGTTCGGCTTCAGAACCACCCAAGAGAGCACCAGTTCAGTGATGGCCGGAAATTGGATGCTACCCAACAATTGGCCCATACCCGAAAACATACTATATAGTAGTTTCAAACGAACGAATTTGGAGGCAATACGCTGTGGTTCTATGCTACAAGCTTTCTTGATGCCGCTGGTTGAGATTGGTTGAGAGAGTCGGATTTCAGGCACCCAACGTTCGGACTTTGAGTCAGGGAACCAAAGTGATGAAGCGTGGAATGTCTGTGGATGACAATGACTTGGAAGGCAGACAGATTGAAAAGATGCATGAATTATCATGAATTTCAAGTTCAAGTTGTTACTTACATATCCCGGTATAGTCCAATATACAATATTTTCCCATAATTGTTTTTCCAATCCCATTAAATTCCAGCTTTTTTAAGTACGAGGTGTGCAAATCCTTCGAGAACGAATCTGGTGTCACTCTGCCTTTGAAGTTCTTTGATCCTCTGGGCATGTCCAAGGCCACTGCAAATCGAGGGTTAAACCTGAAAAAAACTGCATATGGCATGTGGTGAGTTCTTAACGAAAAAACTAAACAGGTATTCTCCCAGGATTAAACGATCCCATTTTTGTGGTCCTAATTTGCGAAAGCCACCATACGAGGGAGTTCAGAATGGAGGGACTCAAGATGACCGAAATGGGAAACTCTCGTTAAGCCATCCAAATTTGGTGACGGTTTCCAGAGGTTTCAATGCAATGCAGAGTCATCTCGTTCCCTGTGATGAACAGTTGCTGTACCCATCTGAAATTCGCAAATCGTACCTTGACCCTGGCCGCGACATAAAACGCCACAGGATGGTGATCAAGACACCTTCCGCCGCCGACGCATCGCTGAGATCAAGAATGGTGACTGGGAACTGAACAGTTGGACTTGGTGATGCTGTTGTTGTAGAAATCCCGAGGCACATATCCATATCATTCCATATCCATGATTTGGTCACAAGTTCCGGAGGGTTTTGTAGAAAAGAGTCAGCGTCGATGTTGAATCCTCCAAGACTCAGACTCAAACAGCTAGTGGATCCAGCATTTGTCAGACATTTGTCCTGCCTGGTGTTCCCTTGGGCTGGTTTGGGCCAGCATCACCATGGTGATGAGCCTTGTCAGGTCGCGTCGCCATGTGGGCTTGCATGGGTTATATTGTTCCAGAGTACTTCCGATTTCCTGGCTACTGCTCTCCCTCAACAGGTGCCGAAAAGTCCGGCTGGAATTCAAAAACCGTCCATAAGATTGGGTGATGAATGCAGATATCAACACATGTCAAATCCAAACCCAATCATATCTACTTGCTGATTCGCAAAACAACATAGATTTGGAAAGGATGTGCCGGCTGTGCCACAAGATTTGGCAGAAACATCAGCTTGCTGAAGACTCATTCTTTCGTGCATGTATAGAATCCAACTAAGCTTGCAAAGCTGCGGCAGATCGAACACAGCAGAATAAACATCGCATCACAATTTTACCAGTAGATCCCCAGACTTCAGATATTTGTGTACAACATCTTCAATGAGTACAAGATAGATCAAGATAGTACAAGATGACTTTTCTACCCTACGGTGTTGCTTCAACCTGCCACAAGGTGGAGGTAAATTCGGTAAAGTCATGTCAATTCACATCTGAATTTTCCCATGGTACATCAATTTACCATAATTTGCCATAATTTACCATAATTTACCACCCTTGTACCTGGGGTGTTGGGAGCAACCCTTACATCAGTAGCTGTCACCGTGCCAGACCTGAAGTTTGCGGACATCCCCAACGGCATCCAGGCGCTGTACAAAGTGCCTGCAGAGGCGTGGTGAAACCTGAAGGTGGCTCAAAGTAACAACAGACCTAACTACATTAATATATATATATATATACATGATATATACATGATATTATATGCAATATGATATGACTATATAAAAACCATGTGCAAAAAGTAATTTCACCCACAGAGCTGGATGTTCTTGCCGCACCTTGACCAAATTTGTGAGTGTTTCTGTGTTCAAGCCGTCACGAGCTGTGAAGACCGGAATCTCTGGTAACGCTGATACAAAGATCAGCCGAGAACAACTTGGAGACATGTTGGCATCAAAATGACAAAACCAACCAGTCCTGCCTTTGTAAAAGGCTCATGTACCGTATCTAAAAATATTTAGTTTTATACTTCTACATTTGATTAAGCCTTTGCAGGTAGTTTGGTCTTGGCTCTTCTACAGTATTGGAAAGGATTTCAGCTGGTCTTTTGGCTGAAGTGAAATCTGTTACTGGTGCCAGGGCTGGGCGCAGATCGCTGTCTTCATCGGCTTCTTGGAGCTCTTCCCTGGAAGGTAATCTGCTGATATCGTTCGAGTGGTGGGTTTTGTGCTTGTGTTTGGGGTATCCCGTTGTTCTTATTTTCCTGCTTCGTCCAATTTGTGGTGGCCTATCAACCTAGACTTTCACTTCCGATTTCTTCGGAACGATGTGTTTTTGTCTGTTG